AATAAGGCAAGGATTGCTCAGAGAGAGCATGGTGGGAATGTGTGTGCCCAATCCAGGTTGGGTAAAGAAAGAGGTGTACCCCAGTAGGCTCCCAGGTGGGGAGAAGAAGGGGCTTGGGAACCAGAGATTTTTTAAGTGGAGGAAGGAAGAAGCGGTAGGAGCCTCGGTTGCCAGACTTGCAATCATGGAGAAGTGACGGCCAGGATCCAAGTGCCGTCCAAGGTGCTGTCAGGAGACCAATGGGGAGTGAAGGAGGAGGTCACCAGAGGTGAGAGGTTAACACTTGGGTGTGAAAGCCAAGAGTTTGGAGCCAAGAATAATTTGGTCAGCCAGTGTTATGCTTGTGATTCAAAATGTCCCCCCAAGGAGTCTCTTGCTGCATTGAAGGTGAGGCTGGTAGCTGATGGGCTCTGGGGGAAGTGATTGGGTCATGACAGTGCCAACACCAAATGGATTGATCCATTGCTGAGTTCGTCAGCTGCAGGAGCTTGTTAGAAGGTGAGCCCTGATTGGATGGAGCAGGTCACTGGGGACAAGAGTCTTCAAAGAGTATCCTTTGTCCCTGACCCCTTTCTCTCTAGACAAAGGTCCGCCTCTGCTTCCTGGCTGCCACCAGGTGAGCTCTGTGCTGAGATGTCTATGCACTGCCTTGGACCCAGAAGCAATGGCAAGAGCGGACTATGGACTGGCACCTACGAAACTGTGATCCTAAGTAAATATTTCTGCCTGGAGTTGTCATTGTCTGTATTTTTGTCAAGGTTTCACAGAACTCTTTAACACAGCCTGGTATGGAGTGCCAGAAGAGGCCTGCCTGTGACTAGAAGCTGGGAAAGGATAAGGGAGTACGCACGGGAAGATTTCCACAGCAGAGGGGGCTTTGGAAGTGAACGGAGGGGATGTCTTCAGAGCAGTGCTAGGTGGTGGGGGCGGCATGGTATCTGGGGAAAGCCTGCTCTAGTACCCCCAGATTTCTGCCGACACCCCCTTTCAGGCAAACACTACCTCTCCCACTGAGCCCCAGGTTCAGTGCCCAGGGAAGGGAGCGGGGCTTAGGGAGAGCCGTCTCCTGCCTCTCTTTCCCTCTCTCAGGCCACCACAAAGTAGGAAAGGGCGTCTTCCCCAGCCCCCAGCAGGCAGAGGCGGGGCAGCCGCCCCTGAAGTCACAGCACACCTCCAGCCAGATCCTGAGTCTGTTTTTATTCCTGCTTCATGAGATGGGAGAAAGTAATGAGAAACAGAGAGGGGCAGGAAGCGGAAGTGGAGGGAGAGGGCCCCTTGCCCTGGGTCCCCACCCCCAAGCTAGAACTTACTCCACTGCTGGGCTATACCACTCGCTGAGAAGTGCCACCAGTGCCTGGCTACCCGGCAGCCCCCATCCTAAAGAGGAAAGAACACATGCACAGAGCACACTCCTATGGGTGGTGTCACCCTGAAGTGGCACGGGGAGGGAGGGCCTCGGCGTGCCAACCGGATGTAGCTTTTTAGGTTTCCCTGGGTCCTTTCCAAGTTGTCCAGATGTAGTGGGAAGAATAGAGAATTGAGACCTGGTTAGGCCAGATTTGGTTTTGGGCTTTGCCAGTGACTGCCCCTTTGACCTTGGACAAATCATTTAACCTCGGAGCTCTTCTGAAAAGAGAATAGAAAGCACTGCATACTCAGACACACTGATGGACTAACATGCCCTGCACTAGAGAAGAAACAGAGAAGGCTGTGGAGGTGGCCGCATAGAGGGTGCCCAAGGAACTCTCTGGACTGGAAGAACCGCTAGGACCAGATGCCCAAGCCTGGCACTCCGGGTGGAGCTAAGTGGATGCCCCTGCTGGGGACACATTGGGGAACAGAAAGCTTGGTCAGTATCATAAGTCCATGACTATTCCTTCCTCGTCCTTCGAGTTGGTGTGTGGTCTCCCAGGCTGCCCCACTGTCACCCGCTCCCGGGCCTGTGTGTATATTACTTCCTACCCTCTTGCTTACTTCAACACAAACTTCCAGGCTTAATTCAAAAGTCACCTTCTCAAATAGCCTCCGTTGACAGTAGTGACAGTCTAGGTCCCTTCCTTACCCAACTATAGCACTTACACTGTAGCACAGGCCACATTGTACATCAGTGTCACCTGAGCTGTGTACACCTCCAGGGTGTGGGGGCTGTAGCTGGCTTCCCTGTACCTTCAGCTCCTTACGCTGGCACTGGCTTATGGAAGGGCCCAGGGAAGGCATGGCGAATAAACAAATGAGGGAGCGAGTGAAGGAAGATCTGTTCAGGGTCAGACATCAAAGGTTAAGAGACCCTGATGGTAATGGGGGTCCCAGCTCCCTCTGCTGGGCACCAGATAACTGGCTAGAGAGCCCCCAGTTCGCTCAAGACAGCTCAGGTCCCACATCCATCAACTTTCCTGTAATATTTACCTTAATTTGCAATTATATGCAATTCTCTGCATGAGCATTTGAATCGAATCACAAGCGCCTATTACCCTTTAAGCAGTGCCTGGCACATAGGATAGGTCCAGTAAATATCTGAAGAATGATTGAATGAATGTTCATACCTGGTCCCTCAGCAACTTGCCCTTAATGAGCTTCTGGACTCTCACTGCTTTCAAGCTGCCCGGGCCCGAGCAAGCACACCCCGGAAACTGGGCCAGGCCTGGGCTAACCTGCAGCGGTACACCCGGCATCCCCACAGCAAAGAGGAGGGGGCATGTTCCTTTGCTCCTTTAATTTCATCATCCTCCTCCCTTCCAGAGGGAGACCCGGGCCTCTCCCTTCAGGAGATCTGGACAGGGCTGGTAGATTCCCTTCGGTTTATTCAGTTCTTGCTACGTGCCAACCACTGCTCAGCTTTTTTTCTATCTGTTTTTCTACTTTATTTAAATTTCACACTAATTAAAAAATAGCTAACATTTTTGAGCTCTTACTACCATCCAGGCACATACTTTACATGTATCGACCAACTGAACGCTGATAACAATGCCATGAGCTAGAAACGGTGACTATACCTTTTCATAGGTAAAGGCCTTGAGACAGGGGTCAACCTGCCAAGGTCACAGGAGAGGAAATAAAGAGCTGAGCTTGGATCTCAGGGCTGCCTAGGCTTCCTGCACCACCCCAGTCGCCCCAGATTGCCCGGGGTTAGATCTCAGGTGTCCTGAGGGGAGGGAGGGGGGACTGCTCCTCCCCCAGCCTCAGCACCCGCATCTCCCTGGCTTCCCTGTTTAAGCAGCAACTTGGGAGTTCCAATTCCCACCCCCACCAAATGTGTAATTAACCAAGACTCAGTGGACTAAATCTCCTCCCCTCTCTCACTCCTTATCATCCAGAGGAAAGCCAGACCCTTCCTGGGATGTCTTCTTTATTCCTCCCACCTACGCGTGGCCCCAACCCTCTTTGCAACCTTGTTTCAGGGTCTGAACACATCCCAGTGCCCTGGGGCGGACACGGGTCAGGTGAGAGGGTTAGGGGCGGACACCTGGTTAGTTGCAGATGCCAGGCTGGGCGCTCAGGCAGGAATGCATGGCGGAGATGCCTTCCAGGAGTGAGACGCTTCTCCCCTTATTTGCGTCCCTTCTCCATTTTCTCAGCCATGGGAAGCTCAAGGCACCTGAGTTCGGAGGCAGGCCAGAGGGCTGGGGTCCAAGGGCTGGGGAACCTGACTCAGGGAGGGGGTCTAGGGTAACCGGGTGGGGACAGCTGCAGTCAGTGTCTGTCCCCTGCAGCTGCTATTTCCATTGTTAGTAGGCTGAGAGGGGTGGGCTCGCAAGCAAGGTTATGTGGAGGCACGTGGAGGCAGGTCTGTAAGTTGTGCTGCACGGCACATCCCACAGAGCACCTGTGCACCCAGGGGGACCCTTGAGGACCCGCCTGGGGTACACCAATTAAGCCTCCCTGGGCCCCCTCCTCCGTTGGTGCTCAAGGACACCATCCCAACCTCCCTGTGGACCCCGAAGGGGCTGATGCCACACCTACACCAGGGGCTCCCGCCACTACAGGCAGTGACCCCAAGAGCTTGACTACCCACCTCCATGGAGCCCGGGACCTTGTGCCCGCTCCCCTGGTGCTACAGGGCAACACTGGGCTGGGGGAGTGTGTGGGGGATGCAAGCAACAGCCAGACTACACCGCCCCCAGCAACCAGGATAGGGTGGTTCCGGGCACCAGAAGAACCTGTAACCTCCTGCCCTGACCCCTGCACAGCCTTTCTAGCTTTGTCCCCTTCGCCTGGAGTAGCAGCCTCTGTGTCCTTCCAGACCTGCACCCCCACTAAGCATCGGCCCTGCAGCAACAGGTGAACCCCACGCCCACGTGGGGCAGTGTCCGTCCCGCCTCTGCCTGCTGCATCCTGATCCATGATCCTCTAGCTTAGGGTAGAGTGGAACCTCGGAAACCTGCTCCTTGCCTCCCCAAGGCTTCCTGTTCAAGGAATCCCTGATGCTGACAGGGCAGCCCCTGCCCCAACCTTTCTCTCTGTGGGTCTACAGGACCTCTAGGCGCCTCTTTACACACACATTCTCCTTTGGCCTTCCAGAGGCTGTTTTCCTCTCTCTGGTTTCTTGTTATTTATTCCCTGAACCTTTCAAGTGTGCAGCCAAACGCTGGGTGGGGACTGGAGGCCAATTAGTTAACCTCTTTGCTCCTCTGTAAAAAAGGAGATAAAAACACTTCCTTCCCCGCTGGAGAGCTGCGCGATTAAATAAGATCCAGGTAGAAATGGGACATTTAGCCAAGGGGCTGGCCATAGGCAGTGCTCAATGGAGAGCAGCCACACTTCTGGGGTCCCCTGTGGATGCCAGGGGCTCTCTTTCCCTTTGTTTCCAGTTACTGGCCCCAGAAACGGACCGACCCCCTTGTTCTCCCACAAGGGTGACAGGTGTGAGGGGCTCTGTAAAACCCCAGATTTGGTCTCCCCGTGACACCAGGGAGTTGTGAAGGGTTGGCAGCCAGGGACAGCGAACTTGAGGGGCTCAAGGATTCCCACTTTGGGAGGAGAAATGAGAAAGGGCGAGAGAATCATCTTATTGCCTTTATTCCGCTGTCAGCCCAGCTGTCCCCACTGCAGGGCACAGGGCCAAGCTTTTTATACACTCACCCACGCTCTCTGTGCACGCACACACTCACACACGCACACCACATACATCCCATCTCTGGCTCTGAGAGTCAGTCTCTGGGGGGCAAAGGGCCGCTCTTCAGCCTGCCCCGCCTGCCCTTCTATGACAGCACCAAGGGCAGGGGTGGAGGCAGGGCCCTCAGCCCCTAGAACAAGTCCCTGTGCAAACCAGAGGTGCCAACTGGTGTAGGGATGGGGGTGTCACATTTCCCCATTCCTGGAGTCCGCTCCTCCAGTTCCTGAGGGAGGGACTACTCTCTGCTTACCTGGGGGGCCAGACCCCTGCCAGGGCTGGGCCCTGTGGAACCCAGGCTTGCCCCCCTCTCAGCCCTGCCGGGATACCCAGGACTGCAAAGTAGCCAAATCTGAGGTTGTGGGGGCCCTCCACTGGAGAGCAGGAAGGCCTGGGCCCCGAGGCATCTGCGGAGAGGTCATCACTCCCTCTCCTAATCCATCTTCAATATGAAGAGGTTTGGGGCACACTTCCTGGGGAGGGAGCACAGGCCTGCCGAAGTCCCAGCTTGGGTCCTCCCCAAACGTCCATCTTCTGGGCCACAGCCTACAGCCAGGCATCCAAAAGTCCAAAAGTCCAGCCGGCTGGTCAGAGTCCCTGCGAAGTCCTTGGGGGGCACCCCCCCGTAGGAGCTGGCTGTCAGACCTGCACAGGCAGCGTCTGGTTCATCTGCAGCCGCATGTCCTGAATACTGCTGAGGATCTTTTTCTGGTGGCCAGCCAGGGTGACCCCGATCCGCAGCAGGTCTCTGCAGAGGAAGCAAGGGCAGGGTCAGTCCCTTCATTCTTGCCTGCCACCCTGGGCCCAGCTCAGAGCCCTCTGTCCTGCCCCTCCAAATCAGAGGCACTTACTCTGCAGTCATCTGGGCCACCAGGTCAAAGGACGCAAACCCTGCATTGACAAAGCTCTCCTTGTACCGTCCCATCTTGATGGCATCTAGCCAGTCACCTACTGTCGTGAAAGTTGTATAATCGGGAACTGTGCGGTCCAGGAGGGGCTGTGACATGCTATGGGCGAAAAGAGTGACCTGGTGAGTCCTGTGCACAGGGGGTGTAGCACAGGGCTGCTGGCGTGGTGGGAGCACAGGTACTGACCCAGACTGGGCACTGGCGATGACCTTGAGGCTGGCGGCGTTGCGGATGAGCTTGTCTAGGGTGTTGACGATCTGGGAGAATTTGGGTCTGAGGTTCCGGTCCCTCACCCAGCAGTCCAGCATGAGCTGATGCAGTGCTGTGGGACAGTCCATGGGCGGTGGCAGCCTATAATCCTGCTCCACAGCATTGATGACCTGGGCCAAGGGCAGAGAAACCAGAGTGAGCCATCACGCTCCTCCCCAGCTGGCTCCCACCCACTGGGCCAACCTGGCTTGACCCCACTCACATCTTGGTTGCTCATGTCCCAGTAGGGTCGCTCTCCATAGCTCATGACCTCCCACATGACAATTCCATAGCTCCAGACATCACTGGCAGAGGTGAACTTCCGATAGGCTATGGCCTCTGGGGCAGTCCAGCGGATCGGGATCTTCCCGCCCTGGTAGGGGGGGCACACGCCCTTCACCCTGTGACTCAAGGCTGCCCCCCAGCCCTGAGCCCCTGCTGGCTTGGCCCCACCCCCAGTTTCCCTCCCAGCTGCTTCCTGTACCAGGGAGCTGGTGTAGGTGGGATCAGAGGGGTCATCCTCCAGGAAGCGAGAGAGGCCGAAGTCAGAGACTTTGCAGACCAGGTTGCTGTTGACAAGGATGTTGCGGGCAGCCAGGTCGCGGTGCACATAGTTCATCTCGGACAGGTACTTCATGCCAGCAGCAATGCCTCGCAACATGCCCACCAGCTGGATGACCGTGAACTGCCCATCGTTGAGCTGGAGACAACAAGCGGGCTCAGGTGTGAGGCCACTGCCTCCCTCCCCGCCTGCGCTCTCCAGGTCCTCAGAGCCTGTGGCTCCCATGTCCCTATGATGTGTCAAGTATCTTATATACGCCATCTCTGCCGATCTCCATTCCCACTTCACAATCACGGCAGCTGAGACTCAGGTTGAGCAATTTACCTGAGGTCACCCAGGCAGGACGGACAGAGGCAGGGTGTGAACGGTGACAGCTCTGGCTCTGCAGGCCCAGCTATTTCCCGTAGATTTTGAACGGGGTCTCTCTCGATTGTGGGAGGGGATGGTTGGCCTGACCTAGCTCTATGGGGCAGGGAGGGGGCCCTGGGGCTTACCCTCAGGAAGGAGTCCAGGGCGCAGTTCTCCATGAACTCAGTGAGGATCATAACCGGCCGGCTCTTGGTGACCACACCCTCCAGCCGGATGATGTTGGGGTGGTCAAACTGCCCCATGATGGAGGCCTCGCTCAGGAAGTCCCGCCGCTGCCTCTCCGTGTAGCCCACCTTCAGCGTCTTAATGGCCACGAACACCTCCCGGCGGCCGGGCTGTTTGAGCCGACCCCGGCACACTTCCCCAAACTCCCCTGCACAACACAGGGCACAGGTCATAAGCTACTTCTTGGACTGCACCCCGCCAGCCACGACCCAGCCCACTTCAGCTTCTTGTCCTCACTGTGCCCCTGGGGACTCACCGGCTCCAATCACCTCCTCGATCTTGACGCAGGACACGTCGATCTCCTTGGCAAACTCCCGCACAGCCTCGTTTGGGTCCTCGTAGGTGAAAGGGTCGATATAAACCTTCATTCCAGGAGCAACTGGAAGGAGAAGAGGTGACATGAGAGGAGGAGCACGCTCAGCACCCTCCTGCACAGCACCGGGGACCTTGCTGCACCCCAGCTCAGCAGGAACACGCTCAACAGTCTCTACAGCGTGCTTCATATTCTAGGCCGATGCCGACCCCGCCCCGAGGCCGGGATTCCTCTCATCTCCTTTCTCCCTCATCTTTCATCGTGTCCAAACCTCTCTCACACTTAGCATTCCCCTCGTTCGCATGGCCCTGACCTCGTCCAGGCCTTCAGCACTCAGACTATTGCAATAGTCTCTCTCCTCGCTGCCTCTGGACTTTTCCCACCAAGCTACCCTGAAACAATACGTCCATTGTCTTCCTCCGCAGCTTCCCAATTACCTGCGGTGGAGTCAAGCCCAAACTCTGCCTGCCTCTGAGACCCTCCAAGGGCTGGCCGCACTCCCCGGCCTAGCTTCCCAGCAGCTGTCAAGCCGTCTTCTCACTGCCCCCGCAGCTGGCCAACCTCCCTACCCATTCACTTCCTCAAGACTCCTCTGGCCAGGAATGCTGCCCCTGCTTCTTGAACCCTGTCGTCCTGCCACCTCCTCCCAGAAGCCTTCCTCTTTGAAATTTCCTTGCCCTTTGCCACAGGAACACCCAGCTGAACACTTAATTGTTGTCTAATTGTTTCCTCTGGGTGTGCATCTTGCCCTCCCGTGGCACTGACTGCCTTTGGGGCAGGGGTCGCACATCACCGACGCTGGGGCCACCAGGAGGGCAGAGGGGCTGGGCACCTGCAGTGAGGCAGGGGTCTGGAGGGAAGCAGGAGGAGGGGCACCTAGGAATGTTTACACGCACTGAAGTCATGGGCAGGGAACGGGGCCTGCAGGGGCTGGGGAGCCAGGGAGCGGGGACGGGGACGAGGCACTCACTGTACTGCTGCAGCTTCTCCGTGTACTCCGAATCCGCGCCGTGCCGCTGCTTCCTGGAGGGGAAGGGGGAGGCAGGCCTGAGACAAGCTCTACAGCTCCCTTTGTTCCAGGTCCCTCAGGCTCACACATGGGCAAACTATGCACAGGGGAGGGCCCAGGCCTGGCCCCAGGAGTGCTGGTCACAGCCACCTCGCTGGGGCTCACGGAAGCAGGACAGCAGGAGGACAGGGGACCGACGGTGGTGGGCTCTCCCACAAGGAGTCGGGGCCCAGGGAGGCTGTGGCTCCAGCATGGAGAGGTGGGGTGATCTGCGTGTGCGGCAGGAGTGCTCTAAGGGACTAAAGGCAGTCGCTGCGGGCTTGGCAGTACCTGAGGCAAACGACAGCAATGACCACGACAGCCACCACGAAGATGAGCCCAGCCGTGGCAGAGCCCACAATGAGGGGGAGCTGCTCCTGGAGCTGTTGGGCACTGGAGCCTGCAGACCGAGGAGAGGCCAGTAAGCAGAGGGACAGAGAGGACGGCTGGGCAGGGACAGGCACGGGGCGGTGGGGCGCACGTACCTCTCTCACTCGTGGTCTCAAACTCAGCTGGGTGGCTGTACTGGCCATAGCCGGCCACCGTGCGGGCTCGGACCTGGACCACATAGCGGGCATCGGGCCGCAGCCCATCCAGCTGCACAGAATTCTTCTGGCTGGTCACGGTGGAGGCAATGCCCTCGTTCTGCAAGGCCAGTGGGAAGGAGGCATCCTTGGGTCCGTGGGCGGGACAACTGGCCTCATCCACCCCACCCCAGGCCCCTATGCTCCCCTCATACCGGACGGAGCCTTTCCTCCCAAGGGTTCCCTGCGCTATCGGGGGGTCACCCGAAGCCTACTGCTGCCTGCTGAGACTCTGACCTTCTCGAAGTACTTCATCTCGTAGTCCAGGATGACTCCGTTGGGCCACTCCGGGGGTGCCCAGGACAGGGTCAGGCTGCTCCCCGAGCTGCTGTGCAAACGCAGCGTCGGCACTTCAGATGGCGCTGGGGAAGATCGGGGCGGGGGGTCACCATAGGCCCCCCCTTGCCCTGCACCCTTCCCAAAGACCCAGTCCTCACGGGACCCCAGACACCCCTGAGCAGGTACTCCTGCCCAAGCTGACCCAGGCCCTCACCAGCCTGGTTGGTGGTGATGTTCACCGCTGCATAGCGGGGTGGCAGGGGGCTCTTGCCCGAAACCCCGTTGACCGCCTGCACCTCAAAAGTGTAGCGCGTGTGGGCCAGCAGGTGGCTGATGTGGACCCGGCGCTCCGTCAGGCCCAGCTGCCGAGGCACAAACTCCACGTTGTCATCGCAGCGTGAGCAGGTGGAGGGCCCCCCTGTCCCTGGGCCCCCGTGGCACTTCTTGCAGATGACGTTATACAGGAGGTCATCGCGGCCACCGAGGTCTCGCGGCTCACTCCACTCAAGGACCAGTGAGGTCTCGTTCACATTGGAGATCACACCCCGAGGAGGAGATGGCACCGCTGTGGGGACACGGGGAGAAAGATGCACTTTGGGCCTAGGGCCATCCTTTGGCCCGGAGTGCCTCAACAGCCGTCCTGCTTCCATTTTAATAAGCAGAATATCCTTTCCCCACTCTGCACCACAAAGACTCCTGCTCATCTTGAGAACTCAACATGAAATGTCGCCTCCAACGGGAAGGCTTCCTTGATTCCTCCTCTCTCCATCCCCCGCACTCCCACAGTACAATTCTGGGGCAGTCTTCTGGCCTAGCACTTAGTATATTATATGATCATTATTTGTTTTCACACCTGCTTCTCCCACCCCACTGTGAGTTCCTTTACAACTGTGACTGCCTTACTCTTCTCCACATTCCCTGCACCCAGCACAATTCCTGGTTCACCAAAGGCCAAAGCCGGCAGAAAGCGGGACAGTAGGCTGCCCTTGGTGGGTGAGACCTCCTCCATAGTTACAGAGCAGCAGCTCTGTTCAGAGGAAGGAGCAGGGGACTAGCGGGCTCCCAGCCAGTTCCCAACGCCTGCCTAGCAGCTCAAAAGCTCTTGCTGTACGTTAGTCAAAGGGATGAGGCAGCTGACGTCATGCCCTAGCAGCGCTGTCCTGAGCACATCATCAAACCTCCCAGAGTGCCAGTTTCCCATCTGCAAGGTGGGGTTATTTGCAGGCACTGGTCAGGCTCTCCCAGGCCAGGCCTCACAGGGACAGCGCGCGACTCACTGGTGCAGGCACTGTCTGCGGTGTCCGAGTCTGCGCGGTAGAAGTTATTGTGGCACGTGCAGATGCTGGCAGCTGGCGAGGTGGTGCGGCTGTTGGGGGGGCAGGGGAGGCAGGGCCCCTCTCCCTGCTTCGCCTTGTAGCTCCCAGGTGGACAGGCTGCAGGGGAGAAGAGAGTGGCCGGTGCTCACCACCAAGCCTCCGCAGCTCCGTGAGAACCTGGCCGTGCCCCAGCCTAGGTCTGGGCCCTCCACCTCCTAGACTGTGGTAGCAATGCCAGGATTGCCCAACTCTGCTGCAGCTACAAAAGGCCCTTTCCTTTTGCCCCATGGAAACCCCACGTCAGCGGATTCCTCCCGCCCCTGCCCCCCACCCCACCCCGGGGCCTCCCGGACGAAGACGTCAGCCCCATCGCCTGGACAGCCTGGGCTTGTTGAGGCAGGGCCAAGAGAGAGGAGGAGGAGGGAGAGGAGGGGACAGGAGACCACTGTCGGGCTTCAGCACCCTGTATTTGGCTGATCTCCGCTCCCCTGCCACAGAAGCTCTGGGAAACTCATTCCTGAGGACCCTCAAAGGCCACCCTGCCACTGCCAGGAGGCAGGAGCTCCTCAGCCAAAGCCTCCTGGCCAGCGTCTGCCCCACACCAGGAGCCGGAACAGTCAGCAGCTCCATTCTGCCCAGGGCAGGGTGGGGGCTGCGGAGGGGTGAGGAGGGAAGAAAGCAAGCGGCACTGAGAGGGTCACCTAGAGTTCAGAGGCCTCAAGGGCTCCATGAGGGCACCTGTCCTGAAGCGAGCCACAGCCCAGTGCCCGAACATCCCTTCCGCCGTCTATCTCAGCCCCTGGATGTGAGCTTTATAGACTTATCTAGGGTGGCCGTATGATTTATTATTCAAATTGGAATATTCTAGAGTGAAAGGGGGCACTAGGGCTGTTAGGATAATAGGCCCAGTCCAAGACTGTCCTGGACGTGCTGAAGTGTATGTCAGTCTACCCACAGGACGACCTCTGGCGGGGTCACTCAGGCCACGCGACGCCCACAGGCAGGGCTGTGCCCTTCTCTGGGGTTTCATCTCCCCTCGAAAAGGTGATATTCCATCCTAGCTCTTTGAGCTGGTGGGGGAGGGGGCAGAGGCCAGGCCAGCCCGGTTGCTATGGGAACTCATGTGCATTTCCTGCCAGGGACCTGCAGAGTGTTAGCCCCTCTTCAGGCTGTCAGGCTCATCACCCCCACCCCTTTCTCCACTTGGGAAAAGGAAGTCTCTCAGGCAGGTTCCCCTACAGAGTGGAAAAGGGCCGGGTAAGGCAACTCCAGGGGCAGGCTTCACAGCCAGGGGGTTAATGTAAGAGCTTCGGCCCCTCACACCAAGGGCTGTGGTCAGAACCATCTCCCGCCCTCTGAGCTACCCGGCAAGCCGCATCCCTAGGCCTTGGGTCAGAGCCCAACTTCCTCACTGGCAAAACAGGGAGATGATATGAATCTACCTTACAAAGCCATAGCAAGCTCAAATGAGAGGGCCCTGGCAAGCCCCACCCCTGCCTCAGGTATAAAATAAGGATGGACAGTCCCCATCCTGTCCCTGCATCCCAGCCCTCCCGAGCCCAGTGGCTGCCCCCTTACATGCGGCCTGTGCTTACCACGCACCAACCACTATCCTGAGGCCACGGCAGGCTCGCTTCACCTCACTACAACCCTAACAAGGAATCTCCGAAACCAAGGCTCCAAGGGTTAAGTACCTCGCCCAAGTCACGAAGGTAGTAAGCGACAGTCAGGTCTCAGGACTCATGGGACTGTGCCCCTATCCACTGTGCCACATACCTGTTTCTCAGGGGACAGACACATCCTAAAGCGAAGGGCCAAGCACAAGGTGCCCACAGCACCCACCTCTCAGCACTGGTGCCCATCTGGAACACCCAGGGTGAAGCGCACTCTGGGAGCAGCAAAGCTGCCATGTGCCCACCTCCTGCGTCTCTGCCCAGGTACTCCAGTGTCAAGGATTCTCCATGTCTTGCTTATTTTTCGATCTCCCTCTCTCCTCTCTCTCTCTCCAGTACTGAGGATTGAACCCAGGGCCTCACGCACGCTAGGCAAACACTTTACCACTGAGCTATTCTCCCATCATCCTGTGTCTCTCTGCAGGTCCCCTCCCATCCGCCTCCTCCATCACCCCATGTGCAGTCTTCCCTTCCCTCCCTCCACCCACACCCGAGGCCAGACCTCCTAGTCAGACAGGAAGCCCGGCTTGGAAGCGGTAGGTGGCCCTAGCCAGGCCCTCCCTTGCCACCTCCCCCACACCAGCCCCCACTCACGGTGGCACTGGGACTCCTCGACAGCTGGCTCATGGCCAGTGGCACAGGTGCAGGCGCCCACGGGCACCATCCACTCCCCATCGCCATTGCAGTACAGCTTGAGCGGCACCGACAGCTCCACGGCGTTAGCAACGCAGGTGCCGGGAGCAATGACCAGCGAGGTGGTCTCGGCCCCAGTGAGGGTCTCAGGGAAGAGTGCGAAGCCTGCAGTGGTGGATGCACACTTCTTGTAGAAGGCGCGCACAGAGATGAGCGACATGCAGGCGCCCTGGTCCTGGAAGGCCAAGTAGAAGCCGGCCTTGGAAAGCGGCCCGAAGCTGCGCACCTTGGTGTTGACCCGGCCGGCAGCATCCAGCCGGGAGAAGCTCTCATCGGGCGCGATGGTATCCACTTTTATGTAGGGGTTCTCCATCCAGAACGGGGAGGAGGCCGAGGCCACGTCACTGTCAGCCTCGTAGTAGAAGAGGTTGAAGGTCTCCTTGCAGGAGCCGGGGATGTTGGGAATGCTGTTGCAGTCGCGCACCGTGAACTTGAGCTCCACGTAGACCCGCTGCACATCCCGTCGCCAAATGAACCCCGTGCGCAGCCAGTTGTTCTGGCTCGACTCGAGCACGTTACACACCTGATAGGTGCGGATGGGGTTCATGGCCTCGTCGTAGCCACTCACCTCCTCCCACTGCATATGGAGCAAATGAAAAAGATAGCGTGAGCACCAGCGTTTGCCAAGGGCTCACCTCCTCAGGCCTGCTGTACGTATTCACTTCACAGAGATGCTTCTGCAGGAAGTGGCCAAGCAGATGGCCTCCATGGGTTCAAATCCAGCCTATGTGGGTTCAAATCCCAGCTTTCTGCTTGGTGTGTGTCTACACATAAACCACTTAACCATGCTGTGCCTCAGTTTTCCAATTGTAGCACGGGGGTAATAAAGATGTGTAAGAAATAAATGACTTTAAACGTATGAAGCACTTAGAATAGGGCTGGGCCGGGCATGGTGGTACATGCCTATAATCCCAGCACTCGGAAGGCTGAGGCAGGAGGATTGTTGTGAGTTTGAGACCAGCCTGGTCTACAAAGTGAGTTCAAGGCCAGCTTGAACTGCACAGTGAGACCCTGTCTCAAAAAGACCAAGAAAAAGAATAGGGCTGGGAACTAGGTAAGTGCTATATGAGCATCAGCTCTAATATTTACTCTCTTTGGGTCTCAGTTCCACCATCTGTAAAATGGAACTAAGTGGAATGAGGCGAGGTTGGGACTAATTAAACCCAGTCTAACACCCAGAAGGGGCTTGTAACGATGCCTGACACAGAAAAAACATTTGATGGAGACGGGCTGTCACCACTACCATCACATTTAATCTTGACAAGAACTAGGGTCTGGGGATATAGCTCAGCAGCAAAAGCGCCTGCCTGGCAAGCGCAAGGTCGTAAGTTCGGTTCCCGGTACCGGAGAAAAACCAAAAAAAAAAAAAAAAATCTTGACAAGAACTGCAAGAAGAAATGTAGCTGTTGTCCCCATTTCAGAGACAAGGAAGCCAGAGCTCCCCAGAGAGACACACCCACATCACAATGGGCCTGTTGACTGCAGGCAAGGCCAGGGCGGGACTTTGCATAGGAAAGTGGCTCTATCCTGAGCTACACCCCCAGCCCAGGGCTATGGGAACAGTCAAGAAATGGAGGCCCAGAAAGTAAACCGCCTTGCTGAGGGTCACACAGGTACCCAAGGTTTCCTGCTTCCTAAGCCATCACTCTTTCCAGGGACCCGAGAACATCTACAAATGGCCTCCCGGGAAGGGGTGGGGATGAAGACAAGCTGAAGAAGAGTAGGCCAAAGATGGCACCTGTCGGGGAAAGCAGGGACGACACAAGAGTGAGGGACACAAACTCCCACAGAGGCCAAGAAGGTGACAAGCAGAGGATAAGGATGTCACCCACAGAACGTGGGCCTGACAGGGGAGGGCTGAGGCAGCCGCTCTCCAGGCCCTGTGAGGGAGGTGGTGGGTAGCCAATAGCCCTGAAAATGGGGAGACTCACCCCACTCTCTGGATGAGATGTCCACGCCAACTCAGATGTCACCCATTTTGTATCCATGAGAGTCTCTGGGGGAACAAACAGAAGGAAAAGGTCAGGGCTAATCTCAAGGTGGCAGGAGAGAAGTCACCCAAGAAAGGCAGGGACAGGGGAGACCAATTTCCTTCAAATCCCCAAAGTGCCACCAGCTCCCCGACTCTAGAGGAGATCTGCAGTCATCTCCAGAGCTGTCATAGTCCCCCAGATGTCAGGTCCTGCAGGCTGCGGCTGATCCCAGGCCCGGGTTAATGAGGCAGGAGCAGAGGCCGGTTCACACACCTACAGGCCCTGCTAATCTCCACACAAAGGGGCCGGCAGGGCCTTTATCCGGGAACAAAGGGCTGTGTGCCTCAGACCCTGGGCCCTGGCCTCCTCTGACGGCATTCTGCCCCACACGCTGCCCAGGGGAAGGGGAGGGCAGTGACAGGCCAGAGCCGGCTCCCACCCAGCCTCCCACACAGCCACCTGCAGGGGATGGGGCAGGAATGCTCTCAGGGACAGAGTGGGGACCACCAAGGCCCGGATCAGCTCCTAGTCCAACTCTCCCACAGTCCGTGGAAGAAGGTACTGCTGGTGTGCCCCTTTTACCAAGAACGGATACGCAGATAAAATAAATGTATAGCTTATGGTAAAACTGCTAGGAGGCAGAGGTTAGAAGATGGCTCAAATTCAGGTCTAACTGACTCTATCACTAACCCCTAGGCCCCGACAGCAGTACACCCCTCTGTAAAGCAGAGACAAGAGAAAGCCTGGAAAACTGCATATCCCAACAAACTTCCCTCCGCCTGGAAGCCTTTCTTGAACCTCTGTGTGGGAGGTGCAGGCCTGCCTCTGCGCATCACGGCCAGTGGCTCAGTCACATACCTAGCCTGTGTCCTGAGCTGTGGTTTCTCACTCAGTCACAGTGGGGGCCCCGCAGCGTTTGACACTGACTCACTCCCGTAGGTACCTGGTTCTGCTCTCTGGATGGAAAACTACTCTCTGAAAGACTGCGTGACCACCAAGGCCAGACTTGGGAGAAAGGGAGGACAGAGGTGCCAGCTCTTCTCCTGCACCCTGGGAGACGAGACAGCCAATAGTTCTCCCCTTAAGTCCAGGAATGGAATGGAGCCCAGGCTACCCCAGAACTTCTGGGGGCCTCTACGTCCACAGCAGTCCCTGAGGATAAAGACCCAGACTCTGCAGGATTGAGTCAAGGGCCTTGCAGGATCCAGCCCATAGACGGGGCAGCTGCAGCAGCAGCTCCAGCTCCAGCTCCCACGTGAGGCACAGGGGCAGCAGCAGGCAGCAGCAGTTCAGTGCAGGGAAGTGGCTCCCGCCGCCTGCTGTGCAGCAGCCGCTGGTCCCTAGAGGACCTGGCTGCAGGGTGAGCTGCCTGGGCTTGATAGGCCCCTCTGAGAGAAAGATGGACAGACGCAGGCATTCAGCTGGGGTTCCTCGAGGGAAGCCGAGAAGGGGAGAAGCAGGGTCCTGGAGACAGGCAGGCGGAGTAGGGGCCTGGCCCAGGCAGCAGGGTGGGCTGCCAGGCGGGAGGGATGTGCACAGCGGCTGGCGGGGACCAGACAGCCCGGATGGCCGGCGGCGGACTACAAAGACAGCGCGATGGAGAGACAAGGAGGCCCAAGGAGACAGAGATGGAGAGGGAGGCTGCCAAGCGGTCTCTTCCCCAGCCAGCGGCCCAAGTGTTCCCGTCCCTGGGAGCAGCGGGGCAAGCTCACCCCTCCCCCAGCCAGCCAGCCAGCCAGCCAGTCCACCCGCGGTCCGCCCGTTGCCCGCTGCCCACTGCCCGCTGCCCACCGCCCTGCCGCCAAGCAGGCAAGGGCTCCCACCGCTCCCTCGCCTGCCTCCCTCCTCCCTCTCGCTTACTTCCTTCTGCTCAGCCCGTGCCAAACCCATCTGGAACTGTTTAAACCCAAATATTCAGCTCCCTCCCCCCTCCAGCCAGATTCCTCCACAGTTTAAAACAAGCCCAGCGCTGGCTGGGGGAGGAGGGAGGGACGGGAGGCGGGCACAGGGAGGGAGAGAGCGGGGGCCAGCCCTTGGCCATCGCTCAATCTCGGCACATTTTTCCCATTAATGAGGAGAGGACTTGGATTTCTTGAGTCCTGTGTGCCTGAGGAAGGGCTCCGGTCACCCGGTGTGGAGGGGGCTGCTCTCCGGTTCCCCACTTCTCTGAGGAGCGGGGGCTTGCTCCCTCCTGCCTGCCCAGGCACAGGACAGGAGGCAAGAACCTCTGCAGACCCCGTGTTCCAGCCTCTGAAGGACAGGAGTGGGGCATCGCAAACCCATCTGTCGGTGGCGCTGGGAGGGAGAGACCTTTTCTCTGCTGCGTGTGTGGCGTGTGCATGTGCCCGAGTTCGTGCACACGGTGGGGCAGAACAGGGGCTGAAGACAAAAGAATAAGTGAGCAATCTCCAAACTCTCCCGGCCGGCCGCTGACTGCACCCCACTCTGCCCTGCCCCACCAGAGGCTGCAGAGGAGGAGAGAGAGGAGGCCACCTCCAGACATGGGGCTCACAGCTGCCCCTCTAAGTCACCAGGACACCTGGAACTTCGAAGCTCAGGAGCGGACCTTTCAGGTTGCCACGGGGCTGTGGCGAGCCGCCACGTGGCAGCCGCTATGTGGCCCTCACCTTGCACAAACACGCAGTTGCACACTCAGCACCCAGCCCTCGGCGGCTCCCCACTGAAAAACTGAAGAGCAACAAGTCAACACATATGGTGGACAAAAACACACAAAGCCAGAGCCACCCGCAAACACGCACACGGCTTCGCACACAGCCAGCCTGTCTTTTTCAGACACACAGATGCAGATGGTACAAACAGATTAGTCTTCCTTAGACACTCATACACAGTGACTCTTCCTTACACCCAGATCTGGCTTCCCTTGGGCAGGCCCATTTGTACAACCTTCCTAGGGGCACACGCACCCAGTCCGACTGTACATCCTCCTTACACACTCAATTGCACACACTATCACCAGCCACAAGGCACACAGCCCCAAGTATAAAGTGCAAACACAAAATCCAGCTCCACTGTACGGACTTGGTGACATGCTCTTACACAGCAGAGGAAAACTAGAATCAGATGCCCAGTGACACTGGAACATGCCACAGCCCCCTGAAGAAGCATGGAGTCATGGTATAAATATCAGTGCCTAGAGTTGGTGTAAAGCCCTAGGATGCCTCCTCCATACACAGAACACACACACACACACTCGCACACGCACGCACACACACGCACACACACACCCTATAAACACGTTCTTTCTCTGGGATCCTGCAGTGGGTGGGAGGAGAGTTGCTAAAGGGCAGTACCCCTCACCCTGCCTCCAACTCTGTACCTCTCGCTCAAGCGGGGCAGCCACATGAACCACTTCTTGCAGTGGAGGGGCAGGGGCAGCCCTGGCTGCCATGCGCATTGGGAAGGAGTGAGCTCCATTCTGCTTCCTGTTGTCCCAGCCCGGGCAGGAGCTGTCAGTCAGGTCTGGAGAGTGGGGGTGGGGTAGGGGCATGGAGATGATTCTGGGTGTGGCCAGGCACCGTCTTCCCAGGTATAACTTCTGCCCAGACAGCAAGCCACGTCCCTGCCAGCACAATGGCACTGTCTCAAGGGCTTCCGAGACCTCGGGGAGGAGGCGACGCTCTCGCACCCACAGCTGAGCTCCTGGCATGAGAAGGGCACTGTGGGCACTCCAGCCTGCACCTGAGGGCCCCACTGGGACACCCGGGCGCATGGGTACCAGCTGAGAGCCTGCCACCTCCCTGATGAAGGGCCGGGCCCATGTAACTTTCCGCCGGGCCCCATGCATGTCCAGGTCCCAAGTCACCCAGGGCATCCCTAGAGCAGCAGTGCCACCAAGATCCAGCAAACAAACAAGAAAAAACTGGAGACAAGCAAGAAGGCTCCAGCCTACACTCCAGGATGGGGCCTTTGGGGTGGCAGGAAGGTCATGTTCTAGGGCTGGCCCGGCAGAGTTGCAGGGGCAGGAGGACCCAGGGCGGGGGCAGAGCCTGGGAAGGAAGGAGCACCCTGGAGCCCTGTCTGTGAAGAGCGGAAGAAAACTCCGCGCCACCCAAGCTACCCCAATATGGAGTCCCTACCTCACCCACCAAGTATGAGATTGTGGTCCCAGGTTTATCACCACCCTTCCACCGCTTCCCACGGGATGGTATGGGTACATGCACGGGCCAGGCTGCACACTCTGGAGGGACAGCCAGGAGAAAGGGGGGACCCCGCTCCAGGACGAGGAGCCTAACTCACCCACGGCCCCTCCCCCTCCCCTGCACGGCCCTTTGGTCCCCATGTCTGGGGCAGCGCAGAGGGGAGCATCTCAGAACAGAGAACACATTTTGTTTTTCATTCTTCCCCTCAGATGGGGGGGACTTATAATGAACTAACCCTGACAGGGAGGAGACTGGGGAAGAAGGCACAGGGCAGGCAGCCCAAATGCCTCAGTGCTCATCCACACCCCCACCCCAGTACCGGCCCTGCCAGCAGCCAGAGACTGGTGTGATGGGTGGCTGGTCCTGGCTCGAGGCCTAGCCCGCTCCCTGGCATGCCAGTCCAGTGGACCCGGCAGCAGAAGGCCGCGGAGGGCTGGCCCCAGGTTAGCCCCGAGGCTGGGGGGCCTCTCCCACCCCATCAGGTGCCCAGCTGTGTACAGCTACCCCCCCAGCTGCCCAATCCCGACAAACCAGTTTGACTCAGCACAACAGGCAGGGCTACAATTTTCAAACTATGCAGGCCTGGTGATTCAGCCCCTTCGAGCTGTTTAATTAGTGGAAGGCTGGTGGCAGAGGCCTTGCCCACGGCAGCCTTAGCTTTAGCTCGAAGCTGATTCGGGCACAGTGGTGGCCGTGTCGGTGGCCGCAGCAGCTCTGGCTAAAGGGAGGGCAGTGACAAGCACACCGGTCCCCTCCCAGTACCTTCTGCTGCCCCTCAGCACAGCTCTGAAGCCCAGCTTCTGACAGACAAGAAAGGGGCTGGGGGTGCCAGGGGTAACAAGCCGCAAGTGAACAAGCCACAAAAGCCCTGGGCCACCATCCCCTCTCAGCTCCTGCGGCCCCAGTGGTCACTCTGCTGCCTCTGTGAAGGAGAGGGACTCCCACAGTGCCCTCTCCCTCAGGGACAGGCTCCACCGCTGCAGCCGTCAGCCAGTGGGCTGGAGAGGGACCCACGGGCCTCACCTCTCACAGTTGGTAACTGTTTCTCTCTTCATAGAAGAGCGGCTTCCCAGCTGGGATCTAGCCATCCTCTCTCAGGTATTAGGGCCCTGTGGCTCGGATCCCACCCCTCATCCCAGGCGCCATCCTGGTCCTGTGCACCCTACCGGTGCCCACTCACCCACCCACCCGTGATCCTGAAGGAGAAAACGGTCTCGCTTGGAAGGCCCAGTAACATTACACGCAAGGACAGTAGTTGACAGCTGGCCTCATTTCCCTGTTTCTGTGGGTGAATCTCAGGGCAGTTAACGTGAAGGTGGTGTGACTTTTCAATTCAGGAGGGCAAGCGAAGACCCAGGCTCCATCCACATGGAAAACTGATGAGACCTTTGGGTGTAGAGTCTTGGTGACTCCCAAGCGTGCGCAAAGGATGAGGAGCCAGGTGGCAGAGAGCAGCTAACTCATAAGTCCACGAAGGGCATCACCCACAGCTCAGGGAGCCTGGGACTAAATACAACGAGCCCAGCCAAAAGGTCAAGGGCAAACCCAACCTGACAAAGCCAAACAGGAGGATGGATGGAGGAAACTGGACGTCCCACCTATAAAGTTGTTAGGGGGCGGGGCCGAAGAGGTCCCCGGTGCTGAGACCCAGAGAACTCTGACCTCTGGACACAGCCACGACCCAGGAGCCCACCCATCCCACACTTCCAGGCCCAGAGGAGGATGCGGGACAGGCAGGAGCCTGCTCAGCCAGCTCCTTCCATCTCTGCCCCTGTCGGGTTGGTAGGAAGCTCTGCCTCCCATCCCTCCAGCCCAAACTTCTCTCATTCCTTCCTCTACCACTCCAGGGGGAGAGGGCACACCAGTTTCACTTCCCACACCCCCCGCAAGGGTAACAGCAGTAATAACAGTAAGAGCAACAGCTAGTCCTCGAATGACGACACCATGTGCCAAGCACTTTACACATACTGTAGTAAGATGCAGTCCTCAGGGCAACCTAGTGAGGCTGGCACCATTACTACCCCACAGTAGGAGGAACCAGAGGGTGGGTGGCTATGCAGCTGGTTTGCTACGGCTCTTATGTTCCCTCACCCCAGCTGAGGACCTTGGGGTCCGGGGTGTGCAAATGTGAAGGCACTGGCGGAAGCCACACTCACAGGCACTGCCACTTCCCAGGGCTGCCCCCACCAATCTAGCCTGCAGCCTGGGCCTCGCCCTGGCACCTGGGTTACAGCTGAGGGCAGAAGGGGCAGGGGGCAAATGGTCCCAGCGCCCTCTCTTGCTGGACTGCTACAGGTGATCAGGACCTTGTCTCTTGATCACCACCAGCTCCTGGAGAGGCCTTGCCTCAGGGGGTCTGGGAGAGGGTGAGGGACCAAACGCAGGAAGGAAAGAGTCTGGGAGGGAAGAGGGAGGGGGTGAGTCTGGGCAGGTAGCCCTCAGTCACCTGACCACACCACACCCCCGCCCCACACCAGCACCCACCACATCCCATGCCAGGGGACGTGGACCTGACACACACAGGTGACACACACAGTGCCATTTGCACACGCGCGTGTGTGTGTGTGTGTCTGAGTGCACACGTGCCAGTGTCGCCTCTCCTGGGCTAAGACAGATGCAGACCTGGGAACAGGCTTCCTGGCTCACACCCTCCAGGCAACCGACAACAAAGCCCCACACTAGTTTCTCACGCCTGCGATCCTATCACACACATGTGGGTGAGTGTGCTCGAGTGTGGGCGCGACCAGGGCTGTCTGAATTTGAGTGTGTCCACCGTGTGAACCGGTCTGTCAGCATGGTGGGCCCAAAGACAAAAGGGGGTGGGAGATCGAGGGAACCTTTCCCCCCTGGAGAGGGGCGGATGCTTTCTCTCTCAACTGCCTTAAGGATTTTTTTCCAGCCTTCAAGTTTACCGACTGTGAACACAGGGACGAGGCGAGTTACACAGGATTCACGGTTTTGTTCCTAAACTAAGAAAGTGACTACATCAGTTAAAGACGCCAAGCCTAAGTACTAGTGCCCATATTCCAGTTTCCCCAATCTCTGCGGTGTCCCTCCCTCTACACTAAGGAAGGCTTTGCCCCCCCTCACTTAATGACTACATTCGTTGGGAAATGGTGTGTGTGTGTGTGTGTGTGTGTGCGCGTCCGCGCGTGCCTCCCTATTGTTTGTGACCTGTGTTGGTGCCTCTGCTCTCACCAGGCTGGTGTCAAGTGGCAGGCGTGTGACCTCTCCTGCCAGGGCCACCCAAGTACAATCGTTTGGAAGTTGGAGCTAACCCCTCGGCAGCAATCCGGGCAGGTTTCACACAGCCGGTGGAGAAGCCGGGCCATTTTTCCACTAGCTAAGTCGCGCCTAGGCTCCAGCGCTACCTGGGGCAAAGCGCCCTGCTTCAGAGGTTGGAAAGAAAGCCGAGTACCCGAGGGTCCCGCTGGAAGGGAGGCCTCAGAAAAGGATGCCAGCCCGCGCACGCAACACCTCGTGTGTAGCTGGCGCTCGGCAAACCAAAAACAATAACAGGCCCCCGCCTTCCAACCCCCGCAGCCGCCCCCTGACAAAGCGGGGTGCTGCCACTCATTCCCTCACAGTTAACTAAAACGGGCTCCCAACCAGCGCCTCCCCAACCCCCAATCTGGGGAGTCCAGCCTCGCCCCTCAAACGCCTCAGCCTGCAGCCCCTCGCTTTTTCTGAAGGGTCACCCACACTTCCTCGCCTCCGGGGGGTGCCTAGAGTCCCGCTTCTCTGCCTGGAATGTGGGGGTGCTCCCAGAACGATCTCGGCGCAGCTGTGCCTTTCGGGGAGGACGTTCCTCCCGAGTCCGGCCGCCGCGATCCTCCAAGCCGCGGAGTCTCCCGGGCCTCCGAGGCGGTTGCGGGGTCGCCCCCCGCACCTCATCCTCCGCTCCGGGCAGGCGCGGGTGCCGACCCTGCACGACGAGCGCCCTGCGCGCGTGGACTCCTCTCCGGTCCCCGCGCCCCCGGCCCGCGACCCGAGCCCCCCGACGCCCTCACCTTCCAGCGCCCGGCAGCCGGCGGGCAGCAGCAGGGACAGAAGCAGCAGCGGGAGCAACGGCGGCGCAAGCCC